AAATTATATAATTTTGAAGTGTGCATGACTTTGTGTGAATTTTTATTTCAATTTTTATATTGTAAATTGCGACGGTTATCATATCACATTATCACATCATTTCATTGTCAACTAATATCATATCATATAATCATTAATTGTTCTCAATAAAACAATCAATGACATAAGGGATCACATCACTATACTCATACATAGCTCACAATCATATCAATAGCATATTCACATAATACAACTAATTATCAATATTAATGAGTACAATGATTACACGTGTTTGCAATTTAAACACAACAATTACACAACATTATCCAATACACCTCAAGATAAAATCATTATGAGATCGTCTAATTATATGTTAACACCTCGATCATAGTTATTAAGAGATCAATCTCACTAAGCATTTCAATTAATAGCTTAACTAGCCTAACAACCTTATCAATTTCACATGTTAAAATCCTTAGTCAGTGTTATCAATAAAACACCTCAAACCATTAATAATCAACTTATATCATAAATTATTAACAATTAATTTCTCTCATGATTTATCTTTCCTAGAGATTGATATAAATACCTAAAACCATTTATAAGGTCAAAAACTTAAATGGTAAATTATTCATCATCACCATTACACAAACTGCATTTCTATAACTTAATCTTCTAAGACATCAGGTGGTTCAAACCCCTTATCTAGAGTTATATATATAATATTAAGTTGATCTTAATTTTATTAGAAAGTTAAGACAATTATCTCTAACTTCTATGTTGATCTTGAGAGCTAATTATGCCATCTACTATTTTTAAAAAATACAAAATTGTAATGCTTTAGCTTAAATCTAATAACTTGACTTTCACTCACTAATTTGATCAATGGCAAAAATTCATATGAAAATCACAATTTGATTCTAACAGTATCACCCCCAATGCAAAGTTTATTGTGCCCGATGCAAAAAGGACAACACCCTCTCGAGAGTACTTATGCTCGACGTGACTAAAGCCACGATTGCTGCAAAAACTTGCAATAATGACATCAAATGGCGTCCAACGCAACCCATTTGACACTTGACATGATATCAATTCGTGAAAGACTTGTAGGATGTGAAAAAATTGCACATTACGAATCCCAAACTTAAACTCCAATCCAATTGGTAAAAATCATAACTAAAGCTTAATATTACTCTATTATATCATCAATTACTCAAATCCAATATCAATTTCATATTCTAATTATATACCTCCATTAACTACTCACACAATAACCATCTAGGGTTTCCACGGGAATTGACAAGCAATCCAAACTTCATAATTACATGTTCAATTACAAAATTGGAGACATATACAACTACACAACATCAAATAGAACAATAAGGAATCATATAGAAGACCAAAAACACATAATGCAATCAATTGAAAAAAACCCCTTTTATACAATACAAGTAATAGTGAAGGAATTGGGAGTCAATCTCACTGCTTAACATGCATTTTACGCCTAAAGCGAGACTACTCACTTTCCCTTACTTTAATGAGCAAAAGAAGATAGTCTTACAACTCGAGGGTAGTTTCCTTCGTTCTCCAATATGTGAAAAGAATGTGTAAAAAGAATTTAATTAGAAACTTCTCCTTTTAAAAACCTAACCCCTGTCTAACTCTATAGTTAAAAATCCTAAACCATAGTTACAATTTTTTCCCCATAATTTATTCAATTAAAATATCTCATCATATAACCTTGGATTATATGAATATCTATATCAAATAATTGAAACAAATATTAGAACAACTCCATTAATTATAATAATTAACAAATATAATATATATATAATAAATATATTTCTCCTAACAAAAATTATAAATAAATAAAATATATATAAAAAATAAATCTTATAATAAAAATACATATATTTTTTCTAAATATTTATTATAACAAAATATTATAAAAATACATATTTTACTAATAAATATTATACAAAAATAAATTTTACAAATATTTATTATTTAATTAAAATATTCATAATTATTAAAAATTTCTAAAATATTTTTTAATAATTTTAAAAAACTTAGGTGTTACATCATACAGTAATAAATTTAATATAGATTTGGTTCAACCTCAATTCTTTAAGTGGAAGACATTTTGTTTTGATTGGACTAGCTGAGAATTCAAATGGGTTACTAAGCCCATTGTTTTCAATTCTGTGAAAATATGGAATTTATTGTCTCCACTCTTCACATACAAACAATGGACCAAACACTCAGTACTGTTTATGATCGTGGGTGGGGAGGGAATTATAAATTAACAATGTAATTTTGACCATATGATGATGATGATGATGTTGTGGTTCATTTAGAGAAGAAAATAGTTTAACCAATTCAATTTTTAAACAGCGAATAAAATTAAGTTTTAAATAAAAGAAATTAACAATGTCCACAGAACTTAGAGACTCAATTTACACGCGAAATAAACTAATCTTTCATAATGTTTGGCGAACTAAGGTCTGAACATGTCAAAAAAAGGTGTGTATTTTATATTGAATGTTCGATTGTGACTTGAATAAAAATCATCTTAAAAAGATGTGTGCAAAAAACAATACAAAAAAAATAAAATAAATGAATAAATAATTTTTTTTTCTTATTGAGTTGATTTATTTCGCTGTCACATGGGTTCTATTCTGCATATTTTTAGAATTTACATAACTCATTATATTATAATGCAGTAAGAGTGCACTAGTTGTACTTTCTTTTTATTATATTAGATTGGGTAGAATTGTTATTGGCAGGTCGACTTTTTTATAATCTTAATTGTTGTATTTTCTTGTAATAGGTTAAAGTATCTCTTGTACATTTTTTAATTAATTTTTTTTACTTATAAAAAAAAATCGTACGTAATCTAAACTAGGAGTAATAATACAATAAAAACTATCTTTTAATTCATATATGTATTATCGTATTGTTGAAATATGTATACCTTACAAAAGAACTATCACAATCACTCGGGATGTGTAATAACAAAAAAAAAAAAACTACGGATGTGTAAGTATTTGACTAAATTAAACTTTAAAATATTGTGACTGACAAGTGACCAGCTACTGGTATCATATTAAAAAATCAAACTTCATTTTCTTATAACATACTACGAAAGTTTTAATTTTGAAAGTACCCTTAGCGTGCGTATTTGAATCAAATTATAGTAAGTTTTAATTTCGCCCCTATAGTTTGACATGTAAAACTAATATTGAGCTTTCACTTAATAATTTAAACTTTTAAAATAGTTCTTAACGTACTCTCAGTTATTGTTTAGTAATTGATAGGTATGCAGTTTTATGTAAAAAAAGAAAAAGAAAAAAAAAGAAAGAAGAATACAGTTATATTAAATATTTAGAAGAAGTGTTTTATAAATGATCTCAATTAAAGATACACGTGATTTATAAAATAAAAAAGTTATTGTTTATCTATATTTTTTTATCCATATATAATTATTTATTCAAATTGATTAACGATTAATCGCATGGTTTCTTCCCCCAAGTGGCATTGCGTTCCATTTGTTGGCAGATAGCTTTGCTCTTTCCACCCTTTATGTTTAGATTCATAGTTTTAATTCTTATCCACCAAAAACAATATTTGACTATTTAAGACACTTTGCAGTAGTTAATTTTCTAAGTAAACAAAAAACGTAAAAACACGTGGAAATTGACCAATCCTAATCCATTAAACAACTTGAAGATAAGTGATGGAAAAGCAACAATCTTGCGTAGATACCTATTCAGCCGAATCAAATGGATAAACGATAACTAATTTATCTGAGACGGATTAGTAATAGCAAAAGTAATAAAAAATAATTTGGTTACAAGAAAAATTAATTAAGTTGAAATGGACTATAGAAGTAAAATATACATATTGATTGGCTTTTTTTGGTGGCAACATATTGAGTAGCTTATTAGATATTAAGATTGTTTTACGCAATATAATAAAGCAATAATTCTTTACAATATAGAAAAATCGTTATCTCTGTTCTAAAACCAAATCAATATTACCTACACATTTTGTGTGTTGAAAAAATAAAAAAAATTTAAGTTAGCACTTTATCATATGTTTATAATACATTACATGTCACTATAAATTAGAAATTTATTTAACATGAATTTGTAAATAAAATGTATCCGGAAAAGTAACTAATAAAGTAGTACTTTGTAATCACATTATATTTTAATATAGATATAGAAAGTAAGATGTGATATGAGATAATGATTTCAATCTATTTATAAAAACAATAAAACAGTATAGAAAAAATTTACCACACAAATGTTGTCCCCCTCTTGCCTACCCTACCCCCAGAGCCACCTTAAACATACCATATTAATTACCATTTGTGTTCCCTCCATGTTTAAACTTTTTAAGACAGAATAACATAATATTAAAAATCAAATGCCTAAATAAAAAATCATAAAAAAAAATAGATGTCTCAAATAAAAATAAACTAAATTTCAGCACAAGGCAGTATACCTGTACAATGTTACACTTGATGTCCAATTAAGTCTGTAGCCTTTAATTTACTAGAGTAAGATTGTATTATGTAATGTGGAATAACATATATAAAACTTGAACAGTGTACTACCGGTTACATTCATTATAATTCCTTCCAATCCGTAAAGAATACCAAAAATCTTAAAAACTAAATCATCTTCGGACTGTTTTAAAGAACCTAACTATTTTTTACGGATTAATAGAATTTAGGACTTTTATTATTAAATCGTTAGTTGTATTCGGCTTACAATTGTTAAACCATGCTTCGGGTTACTAAGCGCTTGCTATTGCTGGCACTGGAAACAGGTTGAAATATAATAAAACTTCACCAAAGACAAGCAAAGATAATGAGATGTACTCTACTAAGTGGCTTTTATGGTACTTTTAAGCCATAACGATGACAATCTCTAGTTTCTCAGAACTGGATGAAATCTTGGCCATTGTTGATTTTGAAAATTTAATAATCTTAATCTAGAAAAGATTAAAAAAAATTGCGTGAACGGCTAATTGATCTTAACTTTCAAACCTTACATTGTCATCTAAAATAGCAGTAAATATGAAGTAAATTTTTTTTAAAAAATGTCCTACTTCAGAATTTTGTGAAGGTATTTGAAAGTTTAAAACTCATCTTAAGTTAAAAAGGGGGACATACGACAGTTACTTTACTTTCTTTACACAAATTGAGATCCTCTCAATCCCATTCTCAATAGTGACATCGCCAGGGAAATGAAACAGGTTAAGCCTAATAGAATGTGAAAGCAATTTCATCCAACAAATTCGGAAGTAGGTTAAGTAGCAGCTGCAACCAGTGCAGATCTAGCACGTGTAAAAGAAGCAATAACCGATCCAAGCTGAAGCTTATCGTTGCACCCAAAACTTAATCTGTACCTGGAAAAGATGAAATTTCATTCCCATTATCATAAGAGCCAATAAATTTCCGATAACACCAGAGAGAAGATAAGATACAGTTTTTTTCCCCCTTAAACCCATATTTGATTATTAAAGTTTCATATCATACTTCACGATTTACACTTTTTATGGCAAGGTCATGCAATGATGTCATCTCTAATATATAATGCTTAATCAGATAAACAAAGTTACAGGGTGCACTTAGCCATAGCCATATTTCTGGTTATCACGACCACTAAAAAGAGAAAAAAAATTGCAATGGTAGATAAAGAGAAAAGAGGGACAAGGACAAAAAGGAGACATAACTATATTCTAAGCATTAATTATCATCCAATGAGATTGTCTTAGAAAAAATGTATTAATAGGGCAACTCTTTCCATAAATTACTAGAGCTCCATAATATATAGATCAACTGACACCTAACTTGCCGAGCAGCATGAAAATAACAGCATTGTGGATTAATTATAAACCTGAGAAAAGTAAAATTTTAGATATAAAACTAAATGAATGTAGCATGCGACTAAAGCATCATTATGCATTGGGTACAAATACCAGAAGCTCTTCTTATTTTCTGCAATTTCAAGATGTGTAATGTATATAAAAGAAATGTTAGTAACATACTCTCTAACACACTTTTTTCTATTGCCTAAAACTTTTAGAAATCACAAAATTTGGTATCTCACTTATTTAATGAGTCACACTCATGATTTAACTTTCCAATAAATTTTAACTAATAGCAAAGTGTTAAAAGGAATGTTTTACTAAGTGTGTTGTTAACTCCTCATATATATATATATATATATAAGGTGTCAACAGAACTGCTTGTGTTATGTGCACTATTAAAAGAGTCTGATAACCAACTGCTCAAGATATGGGGAAGTAGAGATAGAGAATTATTTAGCCAAATTATTTTTCTCCTCTATCATTAAATGTGCTTGTTCAGAACCACATACAGAATTAGAGTTGAAAACAAGTTAGACTTCACCTGAATAAGCCATTGTTTTTTAAAATGCCAGCCTTAGACCGACTTGTTACCTATATACGTTTTTTAAAGTTCAGCCTAGCCTTTTTGTTAAGCATAAAAGCTTGACATGGTATAAAATCCCATGTAAAGGCCTTTCAAATAGTTGTACTTGTGTTTTTTTTACAATGTCTAGAGAAATGTTTGATGTAACTAACTCATTTGGTCATCAGGCAAGGCAGAAGGAGAATAGCATGTAAATAGTAGGGCAGAAACACATACTCTATGTCTGCTAAATCATTCATCAACTGTACTCGAACAGCTGAAGGCATCTTAATCTTAAAAACAAACCTGTATAAACAATAAAATAAAAATAAGATTAAAAAAAAAAAAGCTGCCAATAAGTTACAGTCAGTATGATGCATAAGACTCACATTGTTACTTCCCTGACAATATCAATTACGGCCAACCCTTTCCTTGTCTTCATTTCATTTATTCCTATTAGAAAATAATGCCAAATAAAAATCATAAATTGCTTATAAATATTAAACACAACTGTAAAGGATAATGAGCCACTCAATACTTTGAAAGCTATCTGCAAATTGTTCATTTAGAAGCCAGTAAGATATTTGCTCGATGTCTTTGGGCAATGGGTTTCCAGTGCACAGGTAAACAGCTTCTTCTGTTATCTGCTCAGAAGCCATATGTGTTGACTGCACAAATATTAAAGCAACAAAATGTCATTTGCAATCCATGGACACAAAAGAAACAAAACAATTCAGGATATAATAATTCATAACACTTTTCCCATGGTTAAAAATTGCAAATTGGTAGTTGTCCTTGACACTTGGATACAAAATGAGTGAAAGAAAATCATCGGAGCCAAAATCAAAGTTTAAGAATGCTAATCAGCATTTGGATCCAAAAAGAAAATTGGAAGATTATTAATGAAAGATGTTTCCTTATACACATTCAGTCTAGTTCCCTCTCATATTCTACTTCACCTTCCTTTTTATATACAGTACAAGTTTAAGAAAAGGCAAGAGTTTTACAAGCATTCCTAAATATCACATACAAAGAAACTGCATACTATATTAGCATCCCTATATAAGATGGATAAAGGCCATAAAATCTTGTATAAGCCGCGCTTCACCCAAAAAGAAGTTAGCATTTTGGTAATTTTTGTTGACACTGGTAGAAACACAAATTTACATGGTACACATACACAAATCACCAGTACATCACATGTACATTGGAAAATTATCAACTAACTGGATCATTTAATCAATAATTTACATGGCACACAAATATGCCAAGAATGTCTAACAAAAGCTATCAAGAACATGCAAACAACTATCCCTAAATTTACATGGCACAAATTCTCAAGGGGTTGACAAAAAGAAAAAAAGAGACTTACATTAGGTTTTTATTAATTTGGAAGAACCAAGACAAGTACGATGGGGTAAGTATTAATGTGAGAACTCCTAGAGGCAAGACAAACTTCTCTATAAGGATAAATATGCGACCAAAGCTCAATCTTGAGAATTTAATCTAGTCTTGGATGTGCTTACCAAGAACATGCAAAAAACTATCCCTAAATGCATGTTTTTGGCAAATGATATAGTTTTATTGAGGGATCCAGGGGTGGGGTTAGCTCTAAACTTTAGCTTTGGTGAAAGGCTTAGGAATCAAATGTTTTTTTCTTGAATAATAGCAAGGCAGAATATATACATGCAATTTAAGCAAGAAACAAGGAAATTGAGGTAAAAATCATCATACCACAAATTTCTATGTTTAAGTACTTGGGATCAATATTACAAAATGATAGGAAAATTAATGAAGACTCCTCAAACATGATACAAGTTAGTTGGTTAAAATGAAAAAAAAAAAAAATCCAGGGTTTTTTGAGACTGTAAAATACCTACTAAGCTCAAAGAGAAGTTTTATCTTGCAACTGTATGACCAGTTATAACCAATGATAGTGAATGTTGGACTTTAAAGAGAGAACACAGGAGAAAAATAGGAGTAACAAAAATGAGGATGTTAACATAGATGTGTTTGGCAACATGAAAAAAGGACAAGATAGTGAAGATACAAAATAATTACATATAAGGAGATATTGATGTGGCACTTTATCAAGACGACAAAAAATATGGTTAAGATGACTTGAACATGTGCAAAGAATGTCACAAGGCTCCAGTGACGAGAGTAGATAGCATGGTTTCTAACCCTATGAAAAGGGATAGAAGGAGACCAAAAACAATGAAATTTTTGTATTAAAAATGATCTCATGTGAATAATATCCTTGAAAGAAAAAAAATTGACAGTGTCCAATGGTGTCATATAGTCTAGTAATGACCTTGCCTAATGGAATAAGGCCATGTTTCTATTATAATGTACATTGCTAGCCATTAGAGTTGAAAATTTTCGAGCAAGAATCCACAATACAGAAGTTATTCAAGACATAAAAAGTAAAAGGACTAGATTAGCTAGATTTGTATATAAGAAAGCTGAAGGCTATCAGCAAACTACCTGAAGAATATTCAAAGCCTTTCTCATGTCACCATTGCTCAATCGAACAAGAGCTGCTAAGCCACTCTCTTGAACATCAAGCCTAATCAAATTATAAAATGCTGATTACCATGTTGCATATTAAGTCAAAAATTGAATGAAAACATTATAAATGTTTATAACAAATTAAAAATATAGCGGAGTGATTATCCAATAAAAAGGGCACAAATTTGAGATGCATTAGAGGAAGTAGATTAGCATGTACAACCAATATAATATATGTTGCACAGGAATTAGCACCTTTCAATATTATAATTCCATTTCCACATCCAAATACAGTATCATATTCAAATGGTGAGTTTAACATGCATAGTTTAATGGTTTCCATATGAAACCCTATCTACAGGACTCCTCAATACTTCAAAATCTAAAGTGAACCATAGTATGTGCTAAAAAATTTGATCAAATTAATTAACTAAAAATAATTGATATGATTCAAGGATTTGGAACACTTCCACAAGTAGTTACAGAGAAATGCAGTCACAACTCAGGTCTTACTATTTTTAAAACTGTGGGATCTGCATGAGTGGTCCATATCTCTTTAACTATAGAAACGATTCAATTATCAATAATAACTAGAGTATATAATATCCCTTTCATGGAGTATTTCATTATACATATAGAAATGAATGTAAGCATCAAAATTTTTATTTGCACATACGACCAACATTTCTTAATCTTTTTCTTAATATGAAATGAAAGTTCAAGCTAAATCGCTCTAACTATGTTTAGCATTTGATGCTATAATTTTCTGTTTTGAATATTTAGATCTTTTGCATAAAAAAAAATTGGGGAAAAAAAGTGCAACCCTCAGTGAAGAAACTCTTTCAAATTGGGTAATCACTACAATCAAATAAGGACACATCATAATAACCTTCTACAATGAACTGAATGCAAATGGGTGTATTCGCTAAAGTTCTGGAGTCAGGAAAAAGACAGGAAGTACATTTTCTCCCCTCCCAGCCCCTTTTCCTTTGAATGAACTGATACCCAAAAGAAGCTGAATATTACTTTGCACATGAAATCTTTTTTACACACATTGTATTAGAAAAGGTCAACTGTCAGAAAAAGCCCAATCACCAGCTTGCAGCAGATAAATATTGACAACTCTTAAAAACTTAAAATATTAACAGAATATTTTAAAGCATTTGAGATAAGCAATGAAAGCTTCATTTCCTTCATTATCATTATATGGCACTCAATATCCACAAATGAAAAACTAAGAGAATAGATTAAAACAGAAATTCTCATAAAAAATTTCCAGATAATGTGAGAAAGTAACATGGCAAGATATCATCTAGATTGAAGTACCACATGCAGACTACATACCCTTCAGCCTTAATAACATGTTTCAGTCTTTCAGTGACATGGACAGCGTCAAGAGGGGCAAACCGGAACCGAGTGCATCTAGATTGAAGTGCAGGAATAATCTTGTTCACATGATTACAGATAAGTGCAAACCTAGTGCTTTTTGTATATTTCTCAATCACTGCATCAAAAGAAGATGAAGGGTAATATCACTCAAGAAACTGGATTGATGCAGCATACACAAGTTAGAATATAAAAATTAGTGCATACCTCTACGTAATGCAAATTGGGCTTCCTTCGTCATGGCATCCGCTTCATCTAACAATACCAATTTTACAGAGGACTTAACACTGGACATAGAGTTTTAGTAAGTCAGTTATGGAAAAACTTGCAGTTCCAGTACACTTCCAGAAAAAAAAAAAAAACCCAAAGGAAATGTTCAACTATGGTTACACTTTCATCCATATAACTTTCAAATCAAATGCACATAGGCACATGCAAGCAAAATAAATTAAGGAAAAAAAGAAAACAAAAAAGAGAAAAGAAAAGAATATAACAACAAAATAACCAAGGCCTTTAAAAATCAGAACCATCAAGACTGACAATTAAATTGAACAAAAAGGAATTACAAAAAAGTCCTCTTATCACCTATATAATGTTTTATGTGTTAATATCTGCATCAAAATTATCTTTAAAAAATGTGTCCAATTTTGTAATGCCTTAATTCACTAAATTACTCCAATTTAGGTTCACCTTGCAGAATAGAGAATAATAATCGGAAGAAAGGGGGGAGGGGGGGGGGCAACAATTTATCCCTTAGACTACAATATTCTGAGAAATAAATTTGCAGGACAAAGTTATAGGACCAGAAAAACAAAGAAGATCACTAGAATCTCTGAATTGACCAATGGGCTGGTATAGGAACTTAGAAAACACTAATAAGTGCAGAACCCTGAAAAGGAGCAACACTGAACATGAAACATTGGGAGCATACTCAACACAAACTTCTGAAGCTTTCAAATTCAATAGTGGTGAATTATATTGATGGCTACTATAGCTAAGGTAAATCACCCATAAAAACAAAGTAACTCAGAATTCAGAATATGAATTTGACAACCATGTTAAATTAGATAAACCAATGACACAAACTGCAAAGAACTATTGAGCGCAGTCATAAAACAGTAAACACAACTGAACTGAACAGTAAGAAATTATAAGCAGAGGAACAAAAGGTAGAGAAGACAACCCAAATGACAAGCTCTGAGTGCTAGCGAACTCTTGAATCTGTTGTCGCACGACATCAATTCCTCTATCATCTGACGCATTGAGCTCCAAAATCATATTGTGGAACTGTGAACCATACAGTTTGCGCGCCACAGCGAGAATCGTTGATGTTTTGCCAGTTCCAGGAGGGCCATACAGTAGAAGATGCGGCAACCTGTTCTCGGTAGTCAGCCTATCAACTACACAGCAATTTAACAAACAAAGAACGATTAGCAATCTAAGAAACGCCAACAATTACTCAAACTGCAAAAAATATACAAGAGCAAGTCCAATTTTAACTAAACCAAATAAAAAATGAAACACAAAAATAGAAAATAAAACGCATCGTTTCCTCGCTAACCAGGTTGAACAATCCAACTACTACAACATACCTAAAACCCTACGATTAGAATAGATGAGGCAATTATCTTAAAATGAAAGAAAGAAAAGTAAGCTACATGGAGAAGTGTTTCTAAAGGAGAAGCTCAATCATAAACCCTAGCGAGAGTCTTACTTGTATCGACAATGTCACGGTGGGCGGCGACGTCGTCGAGGGACTGAGGGCGGTATTTCTCGACCCAGGGAATGGCCTTGGCGGCGGCGGCGGGGGGAGGGTTGGCGGCGACGACGACACTTTTGCCCTTGTCGTCGCTGTCGATGTCCATGGGATAGGTCATCTCCGCCATTCTTAGGTCACAATGCTAAAACAAAAACTCTCTCTCTTCGTCGTGTATCTCTCAGAGCGCTATTGAGAACTGAAATTTGCATTCAACGCTCACAACTCACAGCAGAGGCTAGTGGCGCCAAACACCTATTCTAGTCGATTCAGACCCGGTACAGTTCGCAATGTTCCGGTTCATACTTTTACTTTTGAAAAAAAAAAAAAAAAACTTAGCCCGTTATTAAACTCTTTAAAATAAAAATTATTGATATCAACATGATGTTATCGAAAGATATTGGTTTTGTTATTGATGGTAAATACTCCAGACGAACTAAAAAAAATATATTAATTCGAAAAAATCAACTTTTTTTTGAATAATTTTTTATATACAACGGTCGAGTTTTATAATATGCACGAGATTTTAATTATAAATATAAATATATGTTAATGTCACAAATAAAGCTATAAATGATAAATTTAATTTAAATTACATTATATTAGAATTTAAAAATCAACTCAATCAAATTAAAAATATTTTTTTATTTTGATTTATTTAATTATTTTTTCAGCTATTTATTTCACTATTTATAATAGATTCGATCATTTATGAATATCCTTAGACATAGTATTGTGCAAATACATGCATCTCTTTCTCAATGTAATGTAGAGCATCACCCTTTTCAGCATATATTTACTTTACATTGGGTATATTGTATTGTAGCTTATGAGAAATAAAATTATAGTTTGGCCAAAAGGAAAAAGGAAAAAGGAAAAAAAAAATTATATACTATTCCATTCCAACCATTTAGCACCGTAATATTTCTTGCCTAACTAGTAAAAACTTAATGACAATCTATAACATCAAAAGTTGCAAGGCTAAGATAAAGAGAAAATTCATCAGATTTATTTATGATTTGAGAGGTTTATTTGGATACATATTAGTAACCCACAATTCACGTCTCGAAACATGATTCACCACAATTTGCAGAGGTCCATCCAATCTGCTGGTTCTCGTTGTCATAAATCACTATCTTATCTTGTAAAGAGATGGCTGTTAAGAACAAGAGAAAATACATTACCATTAAATAAAAAAGAGAAACAAAAACAAGATTTTCTTACGAGTGTTTTATTGGTATCCAAAATTGCTCACCTCCAATTAAGTTAGCATTTTCTAGTCCTATTTCAGTGCCATTTAGAATCCCCAAGCAAACATTGCCATGAGTCTGGAGAAGGGCATGTTAGACAATAGACACATAATTTCATTAGAGAGAGAGAAGTGGTTCATAATCTTAAAAGGTACTTACAGTGACAATTAAATAAGCTTGTGGTGGTAGTTGCAGCAGTGAATTCTTGGATTTTGTGAAGCTCAGTGCTAGGGCCTTAAAATTGCTAGTGACATCATGTAGAGATTTGAAAGGCTTTGGACCCTTCCAACAAATTGGCAGAGATGGATCCTTAGTTGCTCTACTCAATTGCTTCCCCTTTATATCATTAGTTACCTAAATCACAAATCGAGGATTTCCAATTCAAGATTGCATGTGATTATGGTAGGCCAAACAATACAATAACAAGGTTCCTTGGATTCCATGTATCTCACCAGTTGAACGAAAGCTCCATAAGCTTGGGAATTGAAGTATGTGTAGGAAGCTCCACTATCAAATATAAGTTCAAGACCCTTCACAGAAGTAGGCTTTCCATTGAACAACAGGTCTGCTGGACCTGTTTTGTAGTGCTTTCTGAAACAAAGACTTGTATGTAAGTTCTCATGAGTATATCAACATCTCGTAAGGAAACTTAAGAAATTGAATATAATTCAACTTTATAAAATTAATTTATAAAATATGAATCGTTGTTCACTTATATTAATTATTTTAATAATATCATTAGTGGTCCCAAGATTTCCAATAGAAACAAATAGCATCTATTTTATGACTTACACCGAGGAAGAGGAACTCTGCAATATTGGGGTCCAAACTATACCAGATTGGGGAATGAGCATACCACCAAAGAATAAAAAGCCTCCTCCTCTCCCGCTTAAGCAGTGTCCCACCACATTGCGAATTAGACCAAGAGAATTAAGCTGTGACAGAATGCTTATTCTGCCATTTCCAAGGCCAAGAACCCCTGCTGTGGAAGGTGGGGGACTATGACCAGGATGCTTCTGATCATATCCACACCTAGCATGCAACAAACAATGGAAATCTTGATTATGTATGAAAAGCTATCATATCATATATATATATATATATATATATATATATATATTTCCGCATCAGTAACATGAAGCACTGATAAATAAATAGATGAGAGAAAATACTTAAGACTCACCCGAAAACCAGCATAGGGTGTGCTAAAGATGTAGAGCTGACTTTAAAGAGAATATTATCTTGAACTAACACACCATGAGATGATCCTTGGTCTGCATACTGAACCTCATACTCACATTGCCCATTTGGGCCATCACAGGCGCACAAAGGATTCCCACATTTCGCTAGGTTGTCGTGGGGTTTATACTGTCGATCACGAGGCTAAGAAACACCAATTAAGGAAATGAATTCATCGTAAGAAGAGTGGTTAGTAATACAATAAGTAAAAGTAGTTGAGAATGAATGTTGTCATGTTGTGAAGTGAAACTTACTATGGTGCAACCTGAACATGGTGCATCACACTCTACCCAAGTGAGATCACTACCCGTGTCAATGTCAAGATCAAAAGACTTGGGAGGATTGCCAATGGAGAGCTTCACCGTGTAATACCTGCACCCAAATTTCCATGATACGAGAGTCGTAGAAGTAGAAGAAGTTTGTTGGAGAAGCGAGAGGAAACATAAACATAAGAAGACATACCCAAGTGGATATACATTTCCTTGAATCTGGAAAACAAAGTAGAAAGGAGCAGAGGAAGAGGTTGGGAAAATGGCAGAGAGGAGCAGAAAGAAGAAAAGCATGGTCGATGTGCTCTTCACATCCATCTTTGGAAGGTAACTGAAATGAGATGGAGAAGGAAATATTTTGGACACTAAAGAGAGACGAACAAGCATCCATTTTATAGAGATACAGGGAGAGAAAAGTAGTAGTAAAAGCATATGCGGTGGATGATAAAGAGCTTAAAACCCGTCAATCTTATTACCTTTTATATGGTCGATCATAAAGAGCTTAAAACCCGTCATTCTTATTACCTTTTATAAGGTGGATATGATAAAGAGGTTAAAACCTCTCATTCTTATTATTTTTTCCACGTCATTTCTTGCCCACTATCATTTGTATACATATATATATATCTTTTTTTATTAAAAAATAATATATTTTAAAAAATAAATATAAATTTAAATTATCGTATAAAATATAAAATATTTATTTATTTTATATATCAAAAACAATATAAAAAGTGTAGTTATAATATATATATATATATATATATATATATTAATCTTACATATATAATATAATATATTGAAAAAAATCAATTTTTAATAAAATAAAATTTGTAAAATACATGTTTATCTTTTATATTTTTTATTTCTTATATACATTAATTAAAAAATTAAAATAAAAAATATTGAAGGATTTATGTTTTATTTAGAATTTTTAATATAAAATATATTTTAAAATAAGTTATCATTTAAAAATTTATATTAAATATTAAAAATATGTTTATATCATAAATCAATTAAACTTGATTTTTATAAAACTTAACATATTTATTTTTATATTTTTATTAGTGTTAAATTATTATAAAGTAGGTCTTTAAGATTATATTTCTACCCAAGTATTTAAAAAAATGTCTATGATAGATAAATAAGTCATATTTAGGATAAAGTTTTTTTTATAAAAAAAAATTAGGTTCAAACTTACTAAATTATAATGTAATCTAGTTTGACCTAATATATTTTCATCTTCAATTTTAATCATAGATATAAAAATTTGTAAAAAATAATTATGATATATTTATATTTTTAAAAGTTATATGTAATGTAACGACCCGCCAGGTTTCACACTGTCTATAGTGTTCAGATACAAGTATAAAATAAAATCTCACTACAAAACAATTATATATATAATGAGAATATACAACTAAAAAGTCCCATAATATATATAACTAGAAGTAGGAAATAATACCCTATACAACAACTAGGTAGTCAAATGCTATCAATCAACTAAATACAACGTCAGCCCTCCTCCTGAGTCCCAACCAAAAAGAAGCTCACCTAGTGCAGCAGAGCACCTAATCCTGATCTGCTCACATACTAAGGTATGGTCATCGCAGTCCCAACCACAAATGAAAACATACTAAGGTAAGCTCATAACAATAATCATAAAAAAAAATAGCATCAACATATAATAAACAACAATAGAATTCTACTTTCAACTTGCAACTTAAAGCAACACAACACCTACAACAATAGATATACAACATCATCTAATAGCAACAACATTTTCAACACATCGTACTTTACTTAAATTGACCGCTTGTAATTGGTATAGCTCGGCCTGACCCCTATACCGTGGCCGCTTCATACACGTGTGCCTCGACCTTGCCCACACATGGGACCAACCAAGTTCTATAGGAGAACAATACACCATCCACTCCAACTAACAACTTTCTAATGAGGGTTTTTAAACAAATTGGGCTCTTAGAGCACCATAACTATCTCAATCTACACAATGGGATGAGCAACTTTGAAAACTTCTCCTCTAGTCCTAGTGATCAACAACACATCACAACACAATCACATAGTATTTATCCTAATAGTTCAACTATCAACTCATTCATACAACATTATATACAACTTGAATGCAACAACCCATGCAACATCAACTAATGCATCGTCACGCGTATCCAACTAGGAGATCTCCAACAACTGAGGTTAAGCAGATTAGGTGGCATAAACCCTACCGAATCCAACGTTTGACCTATCTCAACCAGGTCAGGTATAGGACATCGTTAGGAACTTAGAAGAGAACTAGGTATAGACAACAATAGGCGATTACTCAGGTGTGACACTTACACTCGGAGGTCCAGTACTATTGTCAAGGCAAAAGGGTTTGGGTATGGGCCTACCACGGCCTTGGCTTGCATAACCAATCCACATATAGAGTTAGCCCACCCATTGCCCCCCAAGTACCACGCACCCTCTAGTACCTAGTTAAAGACTACATCTCTAACTAGATACCTTACTCAAATTGGTCATTCAACCATGACATGGATCGACTACTACCATGTCGCCCACACAGTACTAAGGGATTCAACTTTAAAACTTTCAACTTATCACCTTAGTACTATGTATCTCAACATGGGACATATATCTTCACCATATGTCCCCAACTTTTCAAATTTACAACAATAGGCAGGCAGCTTTATACAATTTCACAATAATAGACATCTTTATACAACTTCACAACAATAGGCATCTTTATACAATTTTACAACTAGGCATCTTTATACAACTTGACAACAATAGACATCTTTATGCAACTTAACAACAATAAGCATCTTTATATCAACTTGACAACAATAGGCACCTTTATACAACTTGACAACAATAGGCATCTTTATATCAACTTGACAACAATAGGCATCTTTATACAACTTAATAACAATAGGCATCTTTATAGCAACTTGAGCAACCGTAGTTATCACAATATCGACTTTACGACTTCACAACTATAGACACCCTTCATTCAACTTGACAACAATAGTTATTTTGATACTTTAAATCAACTTAATGCAACTTAACAACTTTAAACAACTTCGCAACAATAATCATCTACTTCAACTTATACATCTCGAATTGTTAATAATTCAACGATAGACAACATGTAAATAACTTAGTTTCATCAAACACACAACATATAAACAACTTAAGCCAACAACTACTCAACTCATCTTCATCAGGCAACTTAGCAACTTAACCACATTATAAACAACTTCTAAAACACAAGAACATACATGCAACCACTAATTTAAATCAATCATCTCTTTTTCTTTCAAACAACAAAAACCCAACTTTTTAACTCAATCTGCACCCAACAACTCAACCATTTCAAGGAAAACAATGCATGAAGCTTCCCTAACCTGAAGATTGGCTCAGAATAGCCAAGAACTGAGAAAAAGCGGAATTTCCTTCCGAAGCTCAACCTGGGAACTTCAATCTTCCAAAAGCAAGCTTCCTAGCCTAGAGTCATTCTCTCCAAAACTTCTTTCTAAAACCTCTCTCTAAGTTCCCTTTTTCTCTTCTTCTCAACTGCATGCATGACATATTTATAGAAGCCAGGAGTGGCCAGAATAACTCGTTTGAAATCCAGAATGGCCCGTTCTGGACTCATACTTCATGTGAAAAATTTACATCTAGAACGACCCGTTCTCAAACCAAAACGGCTCGTTTCGGGGTTGCATTTAACTCACAACGACCCTGTTTGGAACGACCCGTTCTGGGCTTCTAAATCACCCTTATTTTAGTAGTTTGGAACGACCCGTTCCAATTTTGGAACGCCTCGTTCCAGTCTATTAACTATGTTACAATACCTCCCAACAAACAGGAATTTTTGTCCCTAAAAATAGGCTTACCTGAAAAGAGAAATGGATATCGTTCCTTGAACTAACTCTCCACCTCCCAGGTCGCCTCACCAGTAGCTGTATCCCAATGAACTTTCACCAAGTTGATGGATATTCCCCTGAGCTCCTTCAACTTGTGATCAACTACAGCTACTGATCTCTTCTCATAGGTCAAGTTCTCTCTAACTTGCACCTCATCCATCTCTACCACATGACTTGGATCATAAACCTACTTTTCCAACTAGAAAACATGAACACATGTTCCATCTCAGAAAACTCCAAAGGCCTCTGCCTTCTATCAACTTATGATTTCTACCTACTATAGGCAAACCTCATCCTCTCTTGAATCAATTTCACCTCCTCAATAATTTGTAAAACTAACTCTAGCCCTCGTGACCACCGACTCACCATCTTTGACACCAACACAGAGGATTCCCACATTTCCTACCATGCAATGCTTCAAATCCTCATACTAGCATGAAAGCTATTATTGTATGTGAACTCCACCAGTAGTAGGACATCCTCTAAAACTGTCTCCTTCACTCAGAATCTTAAGGTAGGCAAATTCTGCCCTTAAACCTCAAATCCCATCTTCACCCATCTCAAAGCCAAATGCTTCCTCTATATCCAACAAACTAAGAACCTTCATCAATTATGGGTCTTGCAACTGCTTCAACCCAACTTGCTTCAAGATCTCACTAGCTATGGTAGTCATTCTACATCTAATGTGATCTCGAGCTAACTCCACACACAGATTCAAACCTCTAAATTTATCCACCAGCTCCAACTCCTTCACCCTCAACATAGAGACATGGATGGATTCCCTACTCAAGGTGTCCGCCACAACATTGGCCTTCCCCGGGTGTTACATCAATTGAAAATCATAATCCTTAGAAATTCCATCCATCGCCTCTGTCTCATGTTCAGTTCCTTATGATCAAACAAGTACTTTAAGCTCTTGTGATTATTGAAGACGCTGAACCTAACACCATATAAATAATGTTCTCATACCTTCAAGGCAAAAATAACAACTACTAACTCCAAGTCATGAGTGGGATAATTCCTCTCATGATTTTTTTTCAACTGCCTTAAAACATATGCCACTACTCTCTTGTTTTGCATCAACACACACCCCGATCCCTGGTGAAAAGCATCACAATATACCTCAAAAGGCTCACTAGAATCGGGCAACACCAATACAGGAGTAGTAGTCAACCTCTTTTTCAACTCCTTGAAACTCTGCTCACAGGACTCTATCCATATGAAAGGCTGATCCTTCCTAGTCAACTAGGTCAACGACATCACTATCTTGGAGAATCCCTCAATGAATCTCCTATAGTAGCCCATAAAGCTCCTAATATTTGTGATAGTCCTTGGGCGTTCCCTCTGTAACACCGACTCCACTTTAGCCAGATCAACTGCAATCCCTTCTGCTGAAATAACATGA